TAAACGAAGTGAATTATAAAGAATGCATTTATTCTATTGTAGTTTATGCGCTGTCGGCGAAGTAGATTTAATTCAATCCAATAAGTTTAAATGAAATGCAAGAAAAAATGCGTATAATTTAATACTCCGTACAAGGAAGTCATGTGGTGTACACATCAGATTTTTCCGAATGGGAACAGTCTCGGGTGTCGCTAGCGACAAAAATTCTTTATTTCGAAAAGTGTTGCCACTGCTCGCTTTCAAATCGTATAGTTTGTTAAAAAATTGTAAGTTTTACAAAATATGAAATTAAAATAGCATTTCCAAACATTAAATATGCTATTATTATATAATTTCATATTCTGACATTGAATTAAGCACGAGATTGCATGAGATATCAATATATAATATCGAAATATTTCGCTAATGTCAGCATTTTAAATAAATAGCTGCTGTTGCAACTTTCGTTTCAGGTTGGGATAATTGAACAAGGTATGTTATTGTCACATAATTCTTTTATTGATATTGCGGAAAAGCTGTTATATTACATTAAATTTAAATGATAACGTCAGACGTATATAAACCTGAAGTGTCAAAAGGTTTTGTTTCCTGGTTTGACAATAAAAAATTATTCACGGATTGGTTGTTGCTTGGAAAGAATGAACTGATTTCATTGATACTGAAATGTTTTTACGCATTTTCTTTTCAGGCGTACATAGAACTTACAAATTTTGCTTTGACTGTAGTTCGTTCACCTGCCGGGTTTGTAAAATATGTAATATAAGATTTGAAATATAGGAAAAAGGTACTTTTCCGTTTCGCCGGCGCAAATCTCGCCAAGCAGACTTTATTGGCGACAACATACAATATGCAGATAAAAAATGTTAACAAATGTTAGTTCTAAGAATTTTTTATTTTGAAAGCACAAACATTTTAATAGCGTTTAAAGTTTTGTAAAAAGACAATAAAATTGTAAAAAGACATTAATTTAAGAATTTACTATGGTTTCATGGTTCAACATCCTGAGTCGCCGGTTCGTATCACGTGACCCCAAGTGATCTCATCCCACGTAAACTACGCTACAAAAATCTAATTCTCTCAGTAATTATTTACATTAATTTGAAGTTAAATCTTAATATGGAATAAATGTTTAAATGCAAGAATTATTTCAATTCGTACGAATAGCTTACTCAGAAATTATGTAAAACCGCGGTGCTTTACTTCGCTATGGTATTCTCATTAGAATTGATGAATTTAACCCTTGACGTTGCCTTTTCTATATTTTTGCCTTCGAATGAGCGGTGCGATTGCAACCTAATTGACTTAATTACCGCGAATGGCCTTAGGGCATATAACTGAACTATCTGAAAAAAATTCTATGTAATTGTATGCCAGTATTGAAAGAGACACTCAATCTGATAAGAAATGGCGTCGATTTGTTTTAAAAATGAGGCGTAAAAGGTTACCAGCGAGGATATTCCGTTTGGTACCAGTTGTACCATTATTGGCGACTTTATCGCCCGCGCCGGCAAAACGGAAAAGTACCAGGAAAAATTCTAACTTTAATTTGCTATAGTCCCTTAGCTCTAGATTATTTGGTTATTTTCCGTTACTGTCCTAAAAATATTAACTGCTTATAGTAAACCTCTGTAAGCTGCGCACTAACATACGATTCTTACATAATGCTAGTGACGCATTTACATAAATGCTGTAGCCAATAATAGTTTTACAAAATAATCTTGTAAATCTTGATTTGTTATTTTATTTATTGTTGCTACCAATACATTTAAGAACTTTGTAATTGATTTCTGCGTCGGCGGATTTTCTCTTGTTACCAATGATTTAACTTTAGAAACATTACACCCAGTACGTATCTTTCCCGAATATTCGTTTAGAGTCTTCTTTCCATGTAGAATTAATGACTAACAGTTTTACCTTTTCCGATTAATAATATTGCTTATTTTGCATTTATAAATTTCAATATCAAACATATCGCAACGTTTTTGAGTTAAGGAATAGGAATATGTCTCTTCGAGAAGCGCGAAAACATACCTTTTTATCCACAACTTGTTTACATGGGACATTTTGAAAAGGATATAAATTTAAAAGAAGCAAACGATATTTCTCATTTCAAATAATAAGCTGTTATAAATAAATGTTTATTTGTTAACAATGTTTATTTCAAAAAATTTTCCGAAATTGATCTAAAAATTTGCGAACACCCTCTGTATTTTACACTTTTTTGAATTTATTTGAAATTGTTTACGGTAAATTTTTCTCTGAAGTCTATATAATCTGAAGTATTCTGCTTGCAATTTATTTTATATTTGTGAAATTAAGTATGTATGCTCCCAAAATATTTAAGGTTATATACAGGGTTATCCAAATTAAACTTCCCCAACTCAGAGGCCTGTGCAGAGTGTTGTATGGGTCATAATGTGATGAAATTTTAAAACAGACACTTCAGATCATGCGCTCGAAATTTATTAAACAAAAAAAAATAATACAAGAATTTGTCGATAGGTGGCGCTGCAGATCAACAAGACATTCTACAAATGTTCTATATGTGTGCCATGGTTCTCCACAACTCTTTCCATTCGCAAAGCAGGGTGTTCCACAGCGTAACGCAGTAAGTGTACATGAATTCCACGAACATGTCGAATAATTGCGTCTTTCAGATGTGCCAAGGTCGCTGGGTGTTCTCGGTAGACCCGATCCTTTAAGAATCCCCATAACCAAAAGTCGCATGGCGTGAAATCAGGCGAGCGGGGAGGCCAAGCTGTAGGGAAACAGCGGCTGATCACACGTGCATCGGTAAAAGTTGTCCGTAACACCTGTTGAACGTCACGAAGAATATGGGGAGGTGCAACATCCTGCATAAATATCGTGTCCTGGAGGCGGCCACTTGTTGCAGTTCAGGGATCACAAACGTTGTCAACATGTCCTGATACAGTTTTCCTGTGACAAAGCAGGATTTGAACCCTGTTGGAGTCACCTCTTCAAGAAAATAAGGCCCAATGACGAATGTTGCAGTGAAACCGCACCATACAGTAACCTTTGGAGGGTTCAAGGGCACTTCATGGATTGCGCGCGGGTTTTCATCATTGCCCAAGTGCAGCAGTTGTGCGTATTCACTTGACCATTCAGGTGAAAATGGGCCTCATCCGTCTAAAGGATGTTCCATGGTCCAAGCAGCATCGACTTCCACTCTGGCAAGGAAGTGCAACGCAAATGTTTCCCGAACTACAGGATCCCCGTCGGACAGGTGATGATGACTATGGATTTTGTAAGGAAAAATAACCGAAGATTTCGACGCATCACACGCCAGACGGTCGTATTAGGCATATCAACAGCACGAGAAACAGTTGGCACACTGAAAACAACACCATGTGGCGACTGGCTAGTGGGGTCTATGACCGCCAAAGCAACGTCTTCTATGCGTGCAGATTCACAACCTGTCGTCCTCTACCTGGTAAAATTTCCCAACTGTCGCGTTCTTTCGAACGTTCTTCATCACGTCTCGTAGAGTGCGTTGTGTCATTGGTCATCGGCGTGAAGATCTTCAGCCGACGGAATGCCCTTATCCGCAGCACAGGAAGTTCTCGTCATTCTGGTAGAAAAGTTTCACTAACAGAGGTTTGTGTTTCAAAGTCGCCATTGTGCATCATCGAACTGGAAACATCTGCCTGTTCAAGGCCTGTCTTCCACTTTTGTAGGGCTGTCGTTTGGATACGTTGCGCAGAAGCTTTATTTCTGCAAATCACGCTGCTGCAATAGGCACATTACTAGCGTTACAGCGCCACCTATTGGCAACTTCTTGTACTAATTTTTTTTGTGTAATAAATCTCGAGCGCATGATCTGAAGTGTCTGTTTTTAAAATTTCATCACATTATGACCCATACAACACTCTGCACAGGCCTCTGAGTTGGGGAAGTTTAATTTGGGTAACCCTGTATTTTAATGAAACAGTAGACAGATATAACAACGGGCAATCGTGAATACATTAATATTATTTTTATTACTTAGAAATTCACTCTGTGAATTAGCCTTATTTGCTGACTCACAGCCTGTAAATTTTCTAAGAAACTATTTCTGCTTTGCTGGAAGTAAAACTTCATGTACTAGAAGCCCCTTTCAATTGTAAGGAAGCGATGAAAGGGATTCTATGAATTGTTTAAATAAAAATATTGCATAACGTTTTCAAAGAAGGTAATGCAAATCTGTACGTTGAAACTAAACCTAAAGACGCAATTCAGCACTTTTTAGAGCATGTTCGCACTTGCGCATGCTTGTTTTTAATACTCGTTTGCTTATAGTGCAAAATGTGCATGCGTCGCACAGCCACGCACAGACTATTCGCAAAGCGGATAATCTGCACCCAGATGGTCAACAGTACACTTATAAGGTATTTCTCCCGCCTTCTTAGTGTGCTTTCGCGGTGTAGTGGTCTGCAAGCTGGGCGCGTGTTCCCGGCGAAGGCGTTGCTCATTTTTCATCTTGCCTGCTTCCAAAATACCTAATGTTACGGATGTAATACACGGATGTAATATACGTATGTAAATACATGGATGACCATCTTCTCCCCCCCCCGCCTCCAAAAGTTTTGCTAGTAATTGTCTTTCAATAATTATAGCAACCCTACTGTTAAAATGTTCGAAAAATATGTAAATTAGAAGAGTGAACACTCATTTCAATTAGACTTTAACTACAATTTTCTATCAATGGGTAAGTCGATTATTTGAAAGAAAAAAAAAAACCACATAATTCAAATAAAAAAAATTATTTGTATTAATAATGATATACAGTGGAACCTCGAGATACGAGGAAGGTATGAGCGAAAAATTTGTCTCTAAATATTATTTGATTTAAATTTAAAGTTTATTAAAAAACTTAATGATTTAAAAGAAATCTATTGCTACTGCAAAAAATCAAATACGAGGGTCATTCTGAAATTTTTTAGATAAGCATAGTTTTTTAAAGTCATGCTTACGTAATTTTAGGAGTGCTCAAAGTAGTCGCCTCCAGCAATACACTTCTGTAGGCGAATTTTCCAAACATTAAATGCCTCAAGCCGTTCATTTCTTGGAATCGATGAAAGCAACACATTTATAGCTTGTCCAAGAAATTCATCTGTCAACCTTGCTGCATGAGAAGTGGATTTTCATGTGGGAGCATGAGTCTTCTAACATTCACTACTTGAAGAATTTCTAGAAGACACTTAGTGGTGTACCAGGTAGCTGTGACTGTCTTCTGTCCTTCCAGCTTGATGGGTTTGACTAGTCCTGTACATCTGAAGAAAATAGCAAACATTGCTTTTTTCATGGCACGTTGTCTTTTCACCATTGTGGACGTGGGATTATCTTCAAAGATTCATACTTATATTGTATGTGTTGGAACGTCAAAAAAACGGTATGTACGTTTCATTGCCAATTTACGATTTTAGGAAATAATGCGGTGGCCACCATCTTAAGAAATTCCTTAATTTTAGAGGAATTTAAGGGTTTCTTTTCTGACTCTGACACGCTTCTCTTTTTGGTGCTCAGTTAATTTATGAGGTAACACAACGCCAAACTGGTAGTTACATTGTTACATTCATGCAATTCTTCATAAATGATTTTGTGTATGGCGGCGGATTCAATGTTAAGTTCCTTCTGTATCATTTGGTAAGTGCAGCGATTATCATCAATTAAATTTTTCCGTATGGCATCCCGTAAATTATCCGGGACTGCTACTGACAATGACCTTCTTCATCCTGAAGAGAGTTGCGACCTCTGTGAAATTCTGTAAACCATCTGCGGCACGAGATGGATCTTCATTTCCAAATGCTAACTGTAGGCGTTGAACGCATTCTTCTTGATTTAATCACACTTTATAATCATAGAAAATCACAGCGCGATAATGTTCTCGCATCAGCTCTATTTTTCATTCTGCCTAAAATTTATTCTACGCTGAACTACTTGCAACTGGCCACTAAAAATTCGTCTGCTAGGCTAAAATAGTTCATATTTTAAGATCTAACCGTTAATTTTTTTATGCGACTTATCGTCTGCGCGTTCTCAAATCTTTCATGGTGAATTATCAAATTAAGCGATTTAAAAGGAATAAACACAGTTCTTCAGCTTTGTCATTGTTAAATTCTTACTATTAGCTCACATTCAACCTATATCATGTTCAAATTTTCAGTCGTTAATAAAATACTTTTTATTCATCAACTCAAGTTCAAATACATTTTTTTAACTTGTGGTGGATGATACTTGATGTTAATACAGATTTTTCACATATTAAAGTCAATTCCTACTTATTTATTCCTATTTATTGGAACTAAAGATATGCTGTTTTTAAATATATCATAAAACTTACTAATAATGACCATTTATTAGGAATTCGCACGTGCTGTAAAAATTAATGTGATAAATGAGATTGTAATATTTAACAAAAGTAAGTGGCAACAGTAAGACAGAGTTAATAATAAGCAATAATGAAGCATTACAAGAGATGGATAGAACGAGAAATTATAGACCACCATCAGCTTCACAAATTAGAAACGAAAAACTGTTAATAAAGAGTAACTAAAATAAAATTTTTCTTTGTTGACTTAAGTAGGAACTGATTATAAAAAAAATATATATATTACTTGTTAATTTGTAGCTGGATTCATTAAAATAATTATACAATTTTTAGCGGCTGGCCGCGCAAGCAGCTAGCAACCTCGTATAAGCAAAAGGTGCAATATTTTCTGTCATTAAACTAGAACTACGTATAGCACTGAGGAGCCGTAAAAGGACTTCACATTAGGAAGAATCCCATCTGGGGTCCAGAAAAGTTCCCGCCTATTGTCCAACATAGTCATAATTGGGTATTATCGGACACCTGTAAGCGTTTTATAAGAAAAATTTCTAACTGAATTTAACGATAAATATATCTCAATCTAATTTTTTTTTTCTGAATAATTAAGAAAACCAAAAATCAAAGCCTTTTTGCACATTTTCTCATTAAAAATGCAATTAAAATAAGTATAGTAAAGCTAAAAGAATTCGATTCTAGTTTTATAGACTCTGTTTACAACTTCCGAAAAGATAATATACCTACGAGATAGCTCAGTTATTATTCATATATATATAATGTTACCGTTAAAGCTTGGAATCCATTATTTCATAAAATAACTAGGTATCTGCTGAATTACCTAACTGAATCCGTTAAAGTATACAATATTAGTGGACTCTAGGATATTGGATCTTAGCGCTTGTTATTTTATAGAATAACGATTGCCTAATCGTTAAAGTATTCAAGACAGCACGGGAATGCTGTTTGAACTGATTATATGCTGCTTTTAGTCAATTTTGAACCGTTATCATCAGTTACAATTATAATTATTTACATTATAAGCATTATTTATACTTTGCGTTTTTTATAAAATTTTTGTAATACTTTTTAAATAGCTATTTTTTGTCAGCAGGACTAAGTAGCATAATAATTTGCATAATGTGTAAACATTTAAATATAACTATAACTAAAAATAACTGCACCATATCCTGATTTTTATACTGTTTAACTGATCCAGTAATAATATTATATTATATATTCTGTTTTTCTTTATTATTTATCAATTAATCTATCTGTAACATGAGACGTATTTTTCAAGAGACTTTATTATCAGTATTCTATTACCATCAGTTAATTTATAAAATATTTATCATCAGCTGATTTATAAAACAACACAAAGGACTTTTTTTAATGTCAAATTGTTTATTTTTCACATTAATGGTCTATATTGTTTATTTTTCACATTAATGGTCTATATATCATTAGTTAATTTATAGAATAACTATTTATTTCATAGAGCAACTAAGTAAAGTAGGAAATTCTTAATCTATTACATGAGATATCTAGTTATACTATGAAATAACTGAATTATATGTTTTAACGGTAACATATATGCATACATACATATACACATACATATATTACGGCACTAAGCGAAAACCACGAATCAGCAAAATCACTATTACGAGTTTAAAATTTCAACTCAGATTCGGTTTCCCTAAAAATAAAATCATGACTTCTACATAGTAATTATCACATATCAAGCATTTCGGTATTTCAAACAAACTAAAATTATCAAAAATATCTTAGTTGTAGCCACTAATTAGAGGTGGCCTAATGAGCACTTAATGTTGTTTGTTTTGTTTGCCTAGTCGGCAAAGAATGTTGAAGACTGCACAAGATATAGCTTCGTGGAGGATCCCCTAAGGAAAATCTCTGTATTTATGTTCTAAATTAACCATTTAGCCGTAAAGCCAGGTCGTTCACCTAGATTTGAATGCGGGACGAATTAACAGTGGTCTTATCCATTCGGTCATTGGTAAGGAACACACGAAATATGACCTCTACAACGAATGATATTTTCATTTTTAATCCAATGTTATTGTACGAAAATCATGTCCCGTTTTTATGAAAAATGATGTGCTATTGCTTCAAATAAATTTAACCAAAAACTTAGCGTATAATTATTACTTAATTAATCACACTTAGCATATAATTTAATTTAACATAATTTAATGTAACGTAATTTAATTTAAAACTCATGTATACTTTAATTAAAATTAGCGTATAAGTTACAGTACTAATCAAACTTCGCGTATGATTTTTACGTCCTAGAGTTGGTTCTGTAGTTTCAGCTGAACTTATTGTCTACTCACACAACAGTTATACAAGAAAATTAAAGCAAACCAGAAATAATCAAGGAACGATAATTTTAAAAGGAAAGCAAAAATTTCAAAACATTATTTAACGTTCTATGAAATTCTGATTTCTTTATAATATCTGAAATAACATTTAAGTAATAGATTTAATAAATTATAAATAATTGTCCCCCCCCCCCCACCACCCCAAAAAAACTTATTGTTCTCAGCTGTTTATTTGAAAAAAAAAAAAAAAAAAAAAAAAAAAAATGGCTAAGTACTAATTTTCTGGACTGCAGGAAATTTAAGCCTTTCAGACCATTGTTTGTGGCACTCGGTGATAATTCAACTACAATCATGCACTGAAAAAAAGACAGATTAATACTATAAATGTGAATGCCACTGTCTGAGGATAAATGATTTTACTCTACTGATTTTCAGCTCTAAAAGGATATCTATGGATATAGGAACATTATAAAAATTTTATAATAATAATAATAGAACAGTCACAACTGTTACTGACACAGCTTTAGATATAGAATTCGATTTATAGAAAAATAAATAAATAAATAAAATAAAACATAAAATTTTAAAAAAAAATTCCATTACGCGGATCTGAAATATCTTTGTATGTGACGTACAAATTTTACACTCTATTCAAGTATTTGCCGAAAGCATAAGTTGCAAAATATCTCATTAAAATTTCTTTTTAACTGTGATAATTTTGAAATAAATATTTTTAATATTATCCGCATTTATTACCAATATGAGGTTTTACAGATCTGATCGAATTTTGTACCGATCATAATACCTACGACTATAACATCAGAAAAAATACAGATTCGTGATTTCATCACGGTAACGACGTTATAATGACGGCGTTATGTAACTGAGATGCCTTTCACAACATCATATCAGTGAATTACCTCAATATATAAGAATGAAATCACATTCTTTAGAGGGATCTGGCGTAGGGGAGTGGCTTAGAACCCAGAGTCAAACGTCCCATCACTGGGATAGTGGTGGTTATAGCAAACAAATTCAATTTTACCAAAGCGCTGTTGCCAGTGTACTTTGAAAAAATTCTATTTAAATGTGCAGTCAGATATAAATTTTACGTCTACTAGTAGTTAATTGCTTCATTTGTTTCTTAGCTATATCGGACAGTTATTTTTCTAGTAATAATCAGTGATGTAATTTAACAAGAAAATATTATTGCGAACGAAATTTCATAAAGGAAGCTAAGAGGAGCAAAACTTACCTGGTTCACCACGGCCTTGCTCTGGAAGTACACCGACCCCTTTACGTACTCTTCCTGCCAGTCGGGGTAGTCACCATCTTGTTGCGCGATTTGGCTCGTCCCTTCTTCTCCGTCGCAGGTGATGCGGAAGTTTCCCTGGACGCCGGTCAGCTGGTTGCTATTGTCGGACCGGCCGGACGCGTCCTCCTCCGTCCGGCAGTGGACCACGCCGCTTGGATTCACGTGAATGCTCGGAGTACAACCCATGCCGATTAAAAATTTAGCGATTGACGAAGCACATGGTTCGTTCTAGGATCGTTTCGCCTTTTTTCGGGTAATCCGCTCTGTCGGGGCGATCGTCAGTTTCTTAGGCTGAGTTCCAAACGTTTGAGCAAATTCGTACCAAATATATATATATATATATTTTTCAAATAAATGCCGACGGAGGCTTCAGACTAAATTGTCTCACAAATATGAAGGAAAGCTTTTGACAACCCTTTAGCTCACAGAATTAAAAGTTTCTCGATCTGATATCATCACCACAAATGTAATTAACTATATTTTAGTTTCTTTTTCTAATAAAATGACTAAAGTTTTCTTTAATTATTTTTGACTAGTGATATGGCTGTTTAGGACAAGCACTACTCGTCAAATCTGAGTCCAAAACAATAGATTTAAATGTACTTGCCGAGTTCCTTCAACTCAGAAACATGCAAGTTGACTAGTTATTTGGTAGGGCACGCAGAGTTCAGAATTTTTTTTTCCGAAACAGGAAACATAACAAAGTCATTAATCACTGTACAAATCGCGCCCAAGCGGGGAGTAGTTGCAAATATACAGATTCCTTCTAATTTTAACTCGTTTATTCAACAACGGGAAGATAGCCTGCCGATGATTTAAAGCTTTCAAAACAGACCCACAAGGCCTTGACGAGCGTTTTCTCGGAGATAAAGTCACCGAACATGGTTTTCAACAAGTCGAAACGCCTCTTTTTTTATTTTTAAAGTTATCTCAGAGCATCCTAAAGAAGTATTTTCAACACGGACACACACCAGTAATCGTCCATTGACGGAATAACAAAACTCGTTTCTTCTGAACTGCCTTCCGTTTCCTACTTCTGTTTATTTACATTCTGCGACTGCCCAGCGCGGATCGCATCGAACATTTGAAAGATGTTCCTAGCAGAACATACTACACCACTCTCCGTTATCGCATGCCGCTCAAAAAGCGCAGCATTCTCGACTCTGACCAGAAAGCATGTGGCGCCATCTTCTACCCACGACGGCTACTATTTAATTATTTTTCAATTTCGTCTTTTCTACGTAAATTTTCACTGCAAAACTAAGGCTGATTTTTTTTTTTTTTTTTTTTTTTTTTTTTTTTTTTTTTTTTTTTTTTTTTTTGTCTCCACAACCTGATGCATTTCTGAAATGATGTCTACTTTATTAATAATCCAGCAACGATAATTTATTACATATTCAATAAAATCGCTTAAAATATTACTACAATTTGCGTATTAAAAACTAAGCAAATGTCACAACTTTCAGTTATTATTATTAAAGCTTTTTATTATTATTTAATAATATAATTATAATGTTTTCAGCTGTAAAACCTTCAGATTAATACTGTTTAAATTCTTTTTCAGAGGTTAAGCAATGAGATATGTATTTCAGTGACTACTTAGTTTATTTTTAAAAAGTCGTTTGCCTCGGGCGGGGACAAACTATATTTTATTTATCATAAATAGATATTAGTAAAGTTTTAATTTCTTTTACATTATTTAACGGGAAAATTACAAAATAAGAATGATTCAAACTAATGTAATAATGATAATAAAAATAAATTCACAGTATTTGCTTTGTAGGACTTAAAGACGTTCTAGAAATCAGATATCAGAATCATAGATGTGTATCCCGAGTTATTTAGAAAAAGTAAGAGCAAATGAATGCAGATGTTTAGGAACAGGATCATACACCACACTCCGTCTTCTCTCCCCTTCAAAAAAGTAAAAAAGAAAAAGAAACTTCTGCCCAGAACAACATTTATTTAAATTAAAGGTAGCGGAACCATCTTAACTAACGCTTGTTTTAAGGAAAGCAACAATTATATTTCTGGTATTTAAAAGCAGAAATAAATATGGCTAAAAAGTATATTAAGTAGTTTTTGACTATCTAAAACTACAGAATAAATTTAAATTTGCCATGGCGACCGGTTGCGGGAAATTTTACCGTTAGAAACTTCTCGAGTCTTACAAATTTGGATTGTTTCGCTTCGTTAAAAGCTACCAGAGATTTATTATCCAGCTGACCTAGCAAGTTTTGCCACTGCAAATTCGTATTCCCATGCAACTTGGCAGAAAGCCAATTTTGAAACTATATCTCAATAGACATTCAGTTTTTGAAATTAAATAGGATTTAACAAATTTAAAAGCAGTGGATGCATCTCCTAATAAATTTCTTTTTATTTTAAAAACAAAAATCTCTCATGTAATTTAATGTACAGTTTGATTAATTCATAAATATATATGAATATTTGCAGCATTACTGTAATTTACAAAAGATGTTTTGAACGCTATAAACTGTGTAATTCGATAGAGAATCGCTTAGTTTTCATATCTTATGCATAATAAAGCTGAACGCTAATTCTGTTCTCAGCAAGTTCTTAAGAAAGACATTCAAAGCGCACAAAGCATTCAGCTCTGTACATTTCTCCGTAAAAATTATAAAGAAGTGTTTCTCGGTCTCTTCACTCTTTTGGAATCCTTAAAATAATATCAGATGTTCGTTGAGATCGAGAAAAATTTATTACCTAATTACCTAAATATATAATTAGGTATAAATTTTTCACACTATTAAACTAAGGTATTCCCCCTGCTTGCAACATGCCTTCGTGGTGTAACGGTAGCACACTCGGCGCGTATTCGAGAAATCCAGGTTCGAGTCCCGGTGAGGGCATTGCACATTTTTCATGCATCCAGCTTCAAAAAAAAAAAAAAAAAAAAAAAAAAAAAAAAACACGACTCTACAGTGGCACCCGAACTATAAAAAAAGTGGTGGACAATAAGTCGTCACCACCATGATTTGGTGATTGGGTCCCCTAATCCCCAGTCGCCTTTTAAAAGGTATTGAAGACAAATTAAACAATTAAACGCAAATTAAAATTAAAGCAGTATTTTAAAACTTAACACATAGACAAAAAAAGGTAAAACCTTTTTTAAAAAGGATTTATTAACATACCTTAAAGCACAAACTCTCACCACACGTTTCGGCATTGAGTGACTGACTCGCTTACGTAATACTGTCATAAGAATCATGTCTAGTGAAAATTCTGATAATTTTTTTCAATACCACCTTCGCAACGTGCTCATAACTACCTGCCCCTGTTATAACTAGCCCCCTATCGCTACGCTAAGGCATACATTTTTAACAAACAGTAATTAATTTACTTTAATTCAGTTATGTGCACAATACTTTTAAAATATTCAGCCTAAGTTAAGCATAGAAATCAAAGCTTAAACTGCAAGGTCTACCGGAATCCGGCTTCGATACTTTGTAATTTTTTAGATAAAACTTAACTATAGTCGGAGGCCTAAAAACGAGGGTCTCGGCACTTCCTTTATGTAAATGAACCACAATTTTAGCAGAAAATTGTTTTGAAAGCTAAAATTTTATTTTAATGATAAATAAGCTTCAAGAATTCTAAATCAATTTACTTGGAATTCTAAATCGATTTACTTGGAATTCTAAATCAATTCTAAATATCGATAATTTTTAAATATTCTAAGTATAATTTAAAAAAATATAAATTATAATTTTCAATAAATTCTAAATTCTAATTAAGCCTCGGCGTTTCTAATTTTAGAAATTCAACCCTGATCCATATTTATAAAATAAACAAAATAATAATAATAATAATAATAATAATAATATCGTTTTTGTGACTTACAGTGGCAAAGCTAACTTTAGAATAGGTACTTCTGTCAGTATCGTGTCCTATGTGCAGTGTTACTCGAATTTTTCTCCCAAACAACAGAACAACTACAGAAGGTGTTTACACATTTTTAGAATGATTTTGAACTTGTTTAATTAATGCTGAAAATCTAAAGAGTATATTTTAAATGCTCGATCTAATAGTCTTTTTTTCAGAGCTATAAGCCTGCATCGCGATTTCCATGACAGAAGAGCTCTTTGTAAAACTTCCAGGGCTATTGGTTTCAATACGCAGTATCGTCCTGACATGTATCAACAACAAACACTTTCAACATGTTCAAAGGACTTGCCATCTGAACCGATTCACACTTTAGAACGTCAACGAACGGATCATCGTACATTCCCAAAGATATCAGGCATCTTACAAATTCGTGCAGCTGCTTCAATACCTTTTGCAACGAGGTCTTTGTCGGATGCAACAGGGGCTTCGTAAAAGCTTCTTCATGCAGCCTCACGGGAGGAAATCAAGAGGGTGCAAGTCCAGGGTTCGTGGAGGCCATATGAAGGGGCCAGCAAGGCCGATGCATTTTGCTGGACAAATCGCATTGAGATAATGCCGCTCAATTTGATAGAAATCAGCGGGTGTCCCGTCGTGTTGAAAACGTATATTATGGTGAAGGTAGCTATGGCAAGACCTCCTTTAAAACATCCAAAACGATCTCCAATTCATATTAAAACAAAAAATTGATGCAATTCACGTAGCAGAAATTCAAATAAAATTTTGTTTTAACTTTGCTTAGTTTGAGAGATTTAGGGCAGAAATTTAGAATAAGTGAAAACCAAGTAAGTCATATGCTAAAAGATAGAGAAGAAATAAAAATATTATAGATTACTAACTCAAATGAACGTTCCAAGACTGTAAAGGTTAGGAAAACTGAAGCATGTGAAGTTGATAGAATAGTGCTCAATTGATTTTATTCTGTAAAAGGAAATAATATTTCTATGTGTAAGTGGAGTAATATTGCAAGAAAAGGCAAAAGCAGTTTTGAGAAATCTGAGATTACAGAACTTCAGAGTATCGAATGGTTAGTTAAACAAATTTAAGCAGAGATAAAACGATACTTTTAAGACTATTTATGTTGAAGAAACATCAGTAAATAATGCAACATGTAATGGACAGTATAGAAATGCTAAATGAATTTTGTGGAGGGTATGAAGCTAAAAACATCTACAGTGCAGTTCAAACTGGATTTTTTTATATAATTCTGTCTAAAGCATAAAAATGCTTTGGTGGTGAAAGCTCCAAGAAACGTCTCACTGTACTACTTTTGCTGCAACAGTGAAAGAAGAGTTTGAGCAACCATCTGTAATTGGAATGGCTTCAATCACACCAATCCAAAATTTTGTTCTATTAGCATTAGAATGGACGCAAAGCATAATGTCAGAATGGTTGATTGCTGAAGACAGAGAAGAGCCAGAAAAAAACTTTCATGAAAAAAAATATACAGAATATACAGATGCTTTAAAATACACCTCCCAATTAAAAAAAAAAATCGCGATAACTAGTGGTGACGATCATCAGTGACTTTTACATCCACGTGGGAAAAAATGCTTGCGATATACTGGACTTTCAAACAAAACTGTGTAAGGATTATTTTCAATAAAAAACAAAAAAGTACAAAACTCTACTGATCATTTCACACATTTTTTCAATAATTTAACTTTTTTTAATTAAGAATTTTCATTTTTCATTAACCTCAAATTCAAATAAACTCCTGTGACTATGTTACTTATTTATATATAATTTAAAGCTTGAGACAACCCGAATTGCTAATAAAATTGCATTTTCTTACTATGCACCCTCTGAAGAAGGGAACCTCTATATAAGGAACACAGTGCTTGGTACGGTGACTGTCCCTTATTGGGAGGTAGTACTGTATATAAATACTACCAACGATTGCGAAAATAAGACAGATAAGGACTTGTAAGCCGGGTAAGAGTGTGTGTATATATATATGTATACACATTTGGTATTGCAAATTGCAATAAGAAGGGGCATGCTGAACTACATGTTATAGCAGTTTCCACGTGCAAACATTTTAGCGTTATATGGCTAATCGTTATTGATCTATGCAAGATACATACACTCATAAATTCATAAATACGTGCGTACAGACATTATTGAAAAAAAAATCTCTTTTGAATCAACTTTACAATTTGTTTTGGTAAAAAAAGTCCTTTATTATGTAGCTACGTAAGGATATCATGCAAAAAAACAAAAATCTTCCCAATAGATTTGACAACGGTCAAAATGTATATGCCATTGAAATGTGACACCCGAAATTTTTCGTAATTACAGTACTTCCTTTGTAAAAGGAAGTAAAAAGATACACTTTGCGAGAGACGAAAAATCAGTCGTTTTCAATAAAGTGATTGCATTTAAGCAGACGCACAAAAAAAAAAAAAAAAAAAAAAAAAAAAAAAAAAACAGAAAACCCCTCCAAAGTTACAAAAACAAATATAAGCAAAATATGTTTCCTCTACGTCTACACTTTCAGAATTCAAAACACTGAGCATGTCAATGTAAACATTCCTTTTGGTTTATTTACAAAATTAATTTTATTAAATAAAATCTTCATTATCTAAATTTAAATTTATTTTTTGGGAAAGATAAATTTTCAAAATACATGTAAGTTTTTTTATCAGTATATATGTTACCGTGAAAGACCGAAATTGGAGAATGTCGACTTTCACTGGAGAATGTCAACATTCACCAAATACGTCGGTGAAAGATCGAATATTGTATTAAATTCTTGTACATTCGGACCCTCACCGGTGCATGTAGACAATCACAGATATGCTCTGGTGTAGGTTGAAAAGAGAGGAGTATATGTACACGCTGCCATTGCAAAAGGAAGTGTTCCACAAATAAATGCAGTTGTAAAAGCAAGGGCCTCTTGTGCAATTCAAAGTGTCATAATAGTTTAAGTCGTTGCAATAAATAGGATTTGAATCACATAATTTATTAAGTTTTTAACTTCTATTATTTTCCTTTCTCATTTTCAATGTACGTTGTGTTTTAAGTTCTTATGTTCTTATTTTAAGTCTCAAGTGCGTTTTTTCGCGACTGAATTGACGGAAAAGAAAATATAATATTCTTATATGTTCAACATTCACTATTAGTACATGGTGAATGTCGACATTCACTGGTGTAAGTCAGATATAAGGGTATTTGGAAAATATTTCGGACATACACCAAGCGACTATGTGAATGTTGACATTCACCGGTGAAAGTCGACATTCTCCAGATTTCGGTGTTTCACCGTACATATATATATGTTTCTGACTTACACCGGTAAATGTCGACATTCACCATGTACTAATGGTGAATGTTGAACACATAAGAATATTACATTTTCTTCTCCGTAATTCGGTCGCGAAAAAACGCACTTGAGACTTAAAACAAGAACTTAAGAATATAAGAACTTAAAACACACTGTACATTCAAAATGAGAAAGGAAAATAATAGAAGTTAAAAACATACTAAATTACGTGATTCAAATCCTATTTATTGCAACAACTTAAACTATTATGACACTTTGAATTGCACAAGATGCCCTTGCTTTTACAACTGCATTTATTTGTGGAACACTTCCTTTTGCAATGGCAGCGTGTACATATACTCCTCTCTTTTCAACCTACACCAGAGCATATCTGTGATTGTCGACATACACCGGTGAGGGTCGGAATGTACAAGAATGTAATGCAATATTCGATCTTTCACCGACGTATTTGGTGAATGTTGACATTCTCTGGTGAAAGTCGACATTCTCCAATTTCGGTCTTTCACGGTAACATGTGATATATCGGCATCAAAGTTCAGGCATGGTTTTTGAAGACTGGTAAAGCTAATCCAAATGAAGAGGCAAGTTGATTTAGTTTTTAATGGTATATCTTTATTCCATAGCTTTTATTCAATTGTCACTCTAGATCATTTATTCGTTACTAAATAAGAGTATTTAAACTTTAATGCCTCATTCTAACAAAGAGAGCAAGCGCAGTAGCGTAGAACCTAAAGGCACAGAGAGGGGAAAGCTTCTGATGCAAAATGGCGTGCATTCGTTATTTATAGTAGCGGTTACGTAATAGGCTAGCAAATTCTAGAAGGTACTGGTCTAGGAGGCAGATCTTGAATTGCAGAAAGTTAATTAAAAGTTGCGTGTTCGCGAAAAGCAAAGCCATCGCATTTTTTTTATATTTTACATACATATATATAGATACGTAAGATAAAATATTAATCAAAATTATAACTTAAATTACCAATATTCCGTCTTTATTTTAATTTGGGTACTTTGCGTTTCTATTCTAAAAATAATAATTGTTTATAATAAACCTTTTTGACTGCATCACTACTAGATTAATCCACATCATATGATTTACATAATGCTGTAATGAAAACATCGGGTTTTAACGAAAGTTTCCCGCCACCGCAAACAGTTCGCATATTTAATCATACTTTGTCAACCGATATTTGGCATTGGAAAGAAAGAGACTTGCTTTAGAATACCGGGTTGTGATATCTGTAAGAAAATATCGTTCTTATTAAGTACAAGGTGCCTGAAATGGAACTATCGCTACCAGATTAGAACCATCATTTACTTCCAGTTCTGCTGCAAAAAGTCAGCTACAGAATGTCCACAAATTATGTATACAGCTTTAAGTACTGTTTTGTATTAGCTGAGAAATGCTTGGCGCCAGAGCGAAATGTTGGCTAATGGCGCATGCGCCGCCGGAATTGGCGTTGAAATGTATTCTGTGAGAACTTGATTTATGGGACATTCGAAGTTGCGATTTATATGTTACTCTGTAAGGTGGAACCTAGCGCCTGAGTGTCGCTATGGAAAATAAATGTATTTAAACTGTGGAATGTGTGTGGAGTTATTTTATTATGATATACAGCTATCGACGGGAAATAGAATAAGTCATTTCAAGTACTTATGTTGTATCATATGACAGCATGAAGGTTTGGTATACCAAAAGTTAAAACAAGACTATGAGATTCAAGAAGCAGAGTGTTCTAGTCAGTCTACTGGTGCTGATGAGGGCCGCCTGAAGAAGATCAACTGGAGAGCTTGCTAAGGAGTTAGACATTAGTGCCAGGTCCATTAGTCATGCTATGCATTGCATAAACTTGCCGCACAAGTTCAATCGCCTGGTGCTGCATAAGCTGACTCAAGCAGATAAGGGCAGATGTGTTCGAACCTGCGCTAATGCAGTGCGAGGATCTGTTTAAAGTACGTAGATTATAGGAACTAGTTCCTCGGATTCCCAGTGCTCTGACACTAGTCGCAAATCTGGGTGTTTTTGAAGTCATGATTATTCACACTTTTTATCACTCCTGCTCTAGCTGCAGATCTGATTCTGAAGAAGCCTTCAATATTCGGTCTTTCAAATCTGGCTCCTGCGGAGCTTTATTTGCTCTTTTCGTTTCCTCAGAGCTATTTCTTTGAATACTGTGTCATAGCATAGCTATATGTATTAAGTATTACCTTTTTAATACAACACTAGCCTAAGTACCGGATGCCAGTTAAGCTAGATTGAGATAATATATGTAACAACAAAGAGAACGATACCGCTGTGTAATCCTTCTCTAATAACAATGCAAAAAATACGATTCATAGTCATACATTTTTCACTCTGAGGCGATATGGAACCCACATAAAAATTTTCGGCGGAAAAATAAACTGTTCTTTATCATTATATCAGCAACAACGGCATGCAGTTCTTATTGATTTTCGTCTTTTTCATCAAATGGTTATAAAAACTCAAGTTCCATCCAATATTCAATTTTAGTCGATTAAATGCGGCAAAAATTGATCATAATTGACCAGAAATCAATATAGCGAACAAACAGACATTCTTTTTTATATGCATAGATTTTATAAAACTTACAAAGTTTTGATTAACAAACTCTACGGTTTTAAAGCGAGCAGTAGCAACACTTTTCGAAATAAAGCATCTTTATCTCCGATTCGCGAGACCGTTGCCACTCGGAAAAATGAGTGCGAAAATTAATGCTTTTGGAGTTTTTAATTAATATCTTGGCTGATTGAAGTCATACGCAGTCAAAATGGTTTCCCACGAATTTTTGGAATAGAGAATAATGTATTTAATGTTTGGCAATGCTATTTTTATTCCATCGTAAAACTTAGAAATTTTTTATTAACAAACTGGGATTTGAAAGAGAGCAGTCGAAATAACTTTCGAAATAAAGCAGATTTACATCTCCAGCTTGCGAGACTGTTGCCGCTGGGAAAAATTACGGCGAAAATTATCGTTTTTCAGAGTTTTTAATTAATACCTTTGATTCTAGCTACTTCTTTTTGTAAAAAAGTGGATGCTGACCTTTTCCAGGACCCAAAAAAGAATCGCAGAATGTTTGGCGATGATAGCTCTAGTAGTGACCAAGTTATTAGAGGACAAACACACAGACTTTCTTCTTTATATATATATATAGATTACTGTAATATTTATGTAAAATAATAAATTATATTTTTTATTTATTTACTTATTTTACTAACGTGTAGTAATCAAGAGCTGTGAATTTCTCTTTAACCTTCTTTAGAATTATATATATTTATAAACATAAATTTTTCCATCTAATGTATTTTTTTTTTAAGGCTGCAGAACAAAATGTGAGTCCTATCAAACAGAAGAACCTCAAGCGATATTTGGTACGATTTTGTCAAGTTAGATAAAAAAATGCTGGTACTGCCAGCAGACAAATTTCTGATCTTTGGGATGGGATCTGCCTCAAATCTTAAATTTAATTTTACACTGCGTTTTGTAGAAGCAAAAAAATATCAATTATAGTAATATAATCTTTAACAAAAGTCAGTTTAATTTTCATTATTTTTTAACTTTTAGCATTTTCTTATTCCAGAATTTTATTGTTGTTCTATGCAGAAAAGGTTTTTTTTTAAGGGAATCTCAAAAGTACAGTTGAAAGAAACTGGTCCGGGGAATAAGAAGTTTGGTTAAGTTGATTCTAGTGATCCCACTCCTTGTTCAATTCTGTTTGCTTTCCCCATCTTTGTACACTGCTCTTGATCCATGCCTGTTCTGAAAGTATTCATCAAGGTCATTGTTAGTAAGCTGTGAGTCAGTCTTAAAAAAAAAAAAAAAAAAAAAAAAAAAAAAAAAAAAAAAAAACCTCATCTATTTCAGTGAGCAAATGGATCTGATCCCTTAAAGAGGCCCACCAGCGGCTGAGCGGTAAAGTCGCTGAACACTGGTAGTTCGGTCCGAGGTTCGAATCCTGCGAACGGGCTGGCTGCATGGGCGTTTTCGTGGTTTTCCCCACGTGTAGAAATTTTGGATGCCATGAACAAAGCAAACTTTCGAATTAAGTACCTCACTGCACGTTCCGTATCACAACGGATTACTTCCGAAAATATACTTGCTTATTGCTCAGTTTTCGAAAGAATCTGAAATCCTTATTCGACAAATAAACTTGAATTCTTTGAATTTATCTTAAGTACCATATTTATATCCAGCAATATTGTTTGAATCGTCCCTATACAAACAATATATATAGACCTGTAATGACTTACACTAATCTAGAATGTATATAAATAATTTTTTCTACGGGCTGGCTGCATGGGTGTTTTCGTGGTTTTCCCCATGTGTAACGTGTATACGAGCCAGTTTCCCTTAGAAAGTCCTCCACGAAGGCATCCCTCCCCTTAGGCAGATAGCCCTAGCCATAATTAATTAAATACACCTGATCCCTTAAAGGAGTGGTTTTGTATCTCTAGTGTGTTGCATTGCTCCACAATGCTGATTGGTGCAGCAAGTTTAATAATTTACACAACTTGCCAAACTACATTTGAATGCCATGGTATGTAGTTGTGGCTCAATTTTTCTGAGTGGCATATATATATATATATATAGATATATATATATATATATATTTTTTTTTTTTTTTGCAACAGAGTGTATATAACTGTGAAATATTTTATTATTTCTTTTAGAAGATCTGGAAATTAAGTTCAGCATGTTACAAAATTTTACAAAAATAATTAATTTTTTTTTAAAGATTTATTCTTAAAAGTAAAGCTAAATGGTATAAACTTAACAATGATACTTATATAAATATAACATAAGGAACACGACAAATTTAAACTATTCAAAGAAGAATTTATTCAGAGAATTGATAACAAAGACATTTCAACAAATTAATCAGAAATGAATTTCTTCTTATGATGATCCATACATTCACCTTTTCTGTCAAGAGAACACCTCAGCCAGCATTTAATATGGTATTCAATGACTAAATAGGTTACACTAGTATAAAAAACCATCATCTTCATTAAACTGTGGCTGAAATTAAAAAATATATATATTATTCAAACTGCTTCATAAAAATATGTATGTATATCAGTATTTTGAGGATTTTCTGTTATTCAACTACTACAATTACAAAACTGACAAAATTTTTATTTCTCAAGACAAAAATGCATAATGAAAAGGAAACAAGGTTTTATTTTTATATAAATAAAATCTTTCAGTATTTAGATTTTCTCATTTAGGAAAATTTCTATTATTTCTCCGAGTTCAAAAAGTTCAATAAACTTTTTTTATTGCTGACACATTGAACTGATGTATGGTAGGGCAAGTCATGATATTCAGCTTTGATCTCTAATAAAAAAACTGACAATGATTAAGTTCACCAGAATGAATAAAATTTATTGCTGACACAACTGGTTCAGCATGACACGACAGATAGAGGTGTTTCTCAGAAAGAACCCACTGGTGAGTAATATAATGAATTATCAGTCTTGAGCATTTAGCTTCTTTACATGCCATAAAAATTTTCTATTCATTTTCATATTTTCTTTTAGTTGTTCCATTCATATTTTTACCACCATCACTTGTAACACATTTTAACTGATTCCATTGCTAATTGTACTGAGTTAGAGTAGTTCCTTGAAGATATTTTTGCCTTTAGTTATTCCATGAAGACTATTCATAGATGCTAATTCCTTGGTCACCTTAAACTCAGTATTGATCCCTCAAATAAACAGCAAAAATTAGGTAGCATTCATAATATCTGTTGACTCACCAACTGTTATTCAACTACTACAATTACAAAAACCACTTGAAATTTTTTGCCTTTTCTAGTAACTGACTGTTGATATGGCTCCTGATGCCAACTCTTCTAGCTATTGTTTTTGCTGGAAGATTTCTTCCATAATTTTTAAACTTTCATCAATACCTAGCTTTTCGTCAACACTGCAGTAGTCGTAGTGGAAATATGTCATGCCATCCTTTATTTCCTTAATGTTTTCTACTTTCACTTCTAACTCAACTGAACTTCCTTTGGATTCTTTGAGGATATTTATGAACGTTTCAAGTTTGGTAATTTTGCTCTTCATGTCTCTTTGGCAATTTAGTTGTGTTAATTAATTATATATATATATATATATATATATATATTGCTTTAAATGAGCAATAACCTCCAGCTTGATAGACCACTTATTATGGACTGTTTTCTGCTCATGAACATACAAATTTATTCTCTCGAGTATATTCAAAAAATGTCGCTAGAGGGCTGTTTTACAGAGGTAGATAGACAAAACTGATAGATTGAAACAAATCTATTTTCTCTGGGCACATTTCTTCAGCTACCACTATCAAACATGATTTAACCAATTCAATATGGGTAAATAGCTTCTCTTTCATAGCTAATAAATGAGCTATTTGTTTGACTTCGGTTACAACTTCATTATAATTTTTTACTTTTAAGAATAAATTGTGCTGCGATGTAGAACTCTTTTTTAAACTTTCCAATTTTAGCAAGCATTTACTTCTGTGAGTTTTGAATACTGTATTACAGCGTGGTCCAACCCTGCCCCGCAGGCAGCCCTCTTACTCATTTTGTTGGCAGTTGCCCTTCTTTATTGGGAAAAAAATGTCAGTTAAAAACTAAAGACCCTTCTTACTGCATTAAATAATAAATAACAAATATTATATTAAATAATAAAAATCATAAGGCTCAGACAATGAAAATTGTTATAAATATTGTAAATTTAATAAGGGGAGGCAAAGCATTTATTACATTTGTAGACAGTTTGGATGTTGAGTATGGTGACATTTCATTGTACTGTCAAGTGCGCTGGGTAAGTGCTGGAAATTGTCTGCAACAGTTTCTTGGGTTGAGGAATAAAATTCTTGCTTTTCTCAAAAAAGAAAACTTTGGGCACTAGTATCAAGAAAAATTATAAGAAATCCAGTTTTTACATAATCTTGCTTTTCTAACAGATTTAACAACCCATCTTTGAAACTACAAGGCAGAAAACAAAATATAGCCCAGCTTTATAGACATATTGAAGGCTTTTGCAAAAAAACTCAATGTAATGCAAATTGCACTGAAGGCAAATAATATGGCACAGTTCCCATTTTATCAGAAATGACACAAATGAACAAATAAATGACAAAGAAGAAAATGACACAAATGTTAGTATGTTTTATGAAATAATTATAGATATCAAGAAAGAGTTCCAGAATTTTGACTCCCTAAAAATAAAACTTCCATTGTTAAACAACCCCATGGAGATTGAAGTAAGTGAGGTGACTTGAGACCTTCAAATGGAAATTTGCGATCTTCAGGCAGATCCGAAATCAGGAAATTTGCGATCTACAAGACTAAAAAGTGTGATGTCACAAACCATTTCTGGAAACTGATTTCTAAAGAACATTTTCCCAAACTGCATAAATTCTCTTTGCAAATGAGTTTAGCAGTACACAAGTGTGTGAAAGTGCTTTTTCTGCTCTTAGACAAATTAAATCAAAAACTAGAAATTGCATTAAAAGTGCTTCACTGTAATCGAGCCTGAGACTTTGCCTTACTGAAATTCCAATGGACATTGATAAACATGTACCAAAAAAGCAGTGACAATCATCACATTAATTTCTAGACTGTAAAATAAAGTGATATACTAAACCAGTGACTAGTGATTTATATGTAATTTGTTTTCTTTCTTTAATGTCTCTGGCCCTCACTTTGCTACACTAACATTTGAATGGCCCTCGGTTAACTAAAGGTTGCGCCACACTGCTGTATTACATACTTAGATTGATATTGATGATGTATATTGCATTCTTTCAACACAGCTTTTATGTCATTACATAATAAATACAGTCAAAAGTCGTTAATTCGGACACCCTTAATCCGGACCTCAAAGCTATAACTTTCCGCACATGCGTGACCTTTACGGCTGCGCATACGCGCGTGCGCATGCCCACAATACGTTTATGCATGCACGTTTAATGTATAACGGATGGTATAAGCTAAAATTATCTAATTATCTATTTCAGTTAATGTTGCAGATTGCATTGTTCCTTAATCTTTGAATTCGAACCGGCTTATTATTTTTTGCAGACGGTTAGAGCAATTTTATAAAAGTAAGCTTGAACTTTCGATTATGTCAAATAGAATTTCCGATGCTGGAGCTCCCAAAGGATATACAAAGCGGGAGTATGTTTCGATGTGCATCAAACAAAAAGTGTAATTGCTGCAAAAAATGGATAAAGGCATATCCTTTGTTTCTCTAACCATTCCGAAATCTGTTTATCAATTTCACCCTGCTCTGCGGCGGCGGGGGGGGGGGGGGGGATGCCGCGGCGCACAATGAATTGGAAGTTGATCTATCAGCACTATCCTTATCTTCAGGGCAGACGTTTTTATTTTATTTGGCTTATAATTCCTTACTAAATGTAGTATTTCATCTCGATGTACTCCGTCTTTGATATGATTTAAATCAAATTCCTCGTCATTATAATTTGCTTCCGATAGTGAAGAAAGTGACAGAGACGTTATTGAAAACGAAAAAATTTCGATTGACAAATTAGTCGGTATTCTCGACACAGCAATTATAGAACTTGAACAGTGGAACTTTGTAATTGAACAAGAAATTATGTTTGTTTATAGAATTAAAGAGAAAGTATTATCACATAAAACGAAGCAACTTAAACAACTTACATTCAAAGAAATGTTTAATAAAGTAAACAAATAATTAAGCTTTTTTTTTTTTTTTTTACTAAATTTTGATATCCTTTAGATCATAACTGTTCTTTATTTCATAAATTACGGTTTCATATTTTTAATTTTATAATTTCTGCATGCCATCTTACCAGATTTAAACTGATGATCTATAATCCGGAAAAATCGATAATCCGGAATCGCCGAAGTCCAGACAAGTCCGGATTAACGACTTTTGACTGTATAATACTTTATCATTTAATTCTATAAGGAAAAAGTTTACACCTCATTCTGCTTTAAAAGCATAACATTCAAAGTCCATTTTTTCTTCTTATCTGGTTCTTGAGGATAGCACCAGTTTTGCTATTTTAGGATTTAAGCAAGAAGATTGTAATATCGAATTTGTATAATCCTCTGACTTTTTTGGGAGGAGGAGGTGAAAGGAGCTCACAGTGTACATAGAAAAACAACAGTGGCAATAAATAAACAAATAAATAAAAAGTGTGTATTGCATTGAAAAAGAATGAAAAAAAAAATAGGTGCATTGGATGCTTTGTTGAAACAGAGGAAATGATAATGAAACAAACGTTTCTCTCCAGTCAACGAGTTTCTAACTTTTTGGTAGCAGTGTAGCTAATCAGCAAGTAACTGAATTTTCATTAATAGTCTCTTTTTCAAATACTCTATTTTTTGAAGACACAAATTATAATTTTCAGTCTCACTTATACACAGTATATATTGCAAACTCCCATATTAGTATGCTAGTGCATGTGTTGACTAACACTCATAATTTGTTATGTGTAGATATAAATATACATACAGGTACATATAAATTCTAAATTTATTGCATGCTTCTTTTATTTTAAATTAAAGAATTAAATTAAACAAACCTAAAATATGAATATATAAAAAAAGTATTGTAACAATAACAGAAACTTGAATAAAATAATGAATGTGTTATTAGATATTATACATATAAAACAGAAATGATGACTAATAAAATCTCTTAAATAAACTACAGAAATTAAATTAATATTTGCTAATTACAAATTCATAATACTTAACGGCCACATTTTTTATTTAACCGAATATATATTTGTTCACTAATCTCTTTTATTTTTAAATGCAATGCATTACTGAAACTGTTTTTTGAAATTTTAATAAATGCTCATTATTGACAAACATTTTGCTCTTTGACACACATGCAGAATTTCCACTTTTCATCATTCTGTGATGCAACAGAATCTGACTTTAGCATTTACACCTTAAGAGTATCATTTGGGCCTATTAGTCTTAACATCACACTGTTTCTGTTATCAGTCTACTGGCTTTCAGATGT